CGGCGGCGGCATGGGAGCCGGTATCCGCTGCGTCAACCTTACCCACGGCTCCCGTACACCCTCCACTGCGTTCCGACACGTGACCTCCACGTGGCCTCCGCCGCCAAGAAGGTCTCCCAGACCGGCCTGTTCGACAGCAAGAAACGCCGGAGCCTCGTCAATGGGATGCTCTCGGCTTTCGGAATCGTTTTCGCGGTATATTTCATTAAAAAAAGTTTCCAATTTTTTTGTTTCTACATAATATCCGATGAATTCGGATCCATAATCTGTAATTTGGGGTTATATTGTAACAGTTGATTTCCGGTGGAATAATAGCGGTGGCGACGTATAACGAAGGAGCGAGGGATTTCAAAGAGACACCAGTTTACAAAGAAGCGATTCAGTCTCGGGACCTGATTGATGAAGCAGACAGTTCGAGTTCTGAAGAAGTGTTCGAATCCAATCCGACAGAAGTGGCGCCTACTTTGGAGTAGTTCAGTTCGGATTCAGTTCCAATAACTTCGCTGTAACTAATGGTGTTTCCACCGGAACAACTGAGTTTGTGTGTTCATATGTTACAGAACCAAACTGAAGCAGCTCTCAAGATACCTGAGTAAAAGAGATTACTGTTCTTGCCTTCGTTTTTTTTTTTTTTTTTGGGTTGAATTCCATTGCCTTGGTTATTGTACACAAAGGAAGTTTTTCTTGATCAAGATCATGAAGTTTAGAGCTTTTCTAGAATCAATAAACATATTTTTAAAAAATAAGAAATGAATCCAAAATGAACTCCAAATCAAAATTGATACAAAATCTCAGTAGTGAGAAATTGATAGCTTTTAGGTTTTTTTGGGGTTTGGTCCACAAACAAACACTAAAAATGAACTGGATCCTAAAAACAGATATTCTCACTCTGTAAATAGAAGATTAGGCTTGGCAATTGTTTGACCAAAGAGAGAGAATACAATCAACCACTCAATTAATTTAATTTAATTTAATGAATATTGTCTGTGTAAAAACGTGGTCCAAGACGTGCACAGCAAAAACACACATGCTTTGTGCAAATGGATTTGATGAGACTAATTAAACTCCAAATCTAACGAAATCTGAAATAAAAACGTTAAATTTTTGGGGAATTGGGTTCCCATGCACTCACAGGATCCATCCCTCTTCCTGTCTTGTCTCCGTCCACGTTTCGACACGCAATTTCGTTCTTGAACCATGCAGACAATGTCGCGGTAGTAAATCTCTCTCCTCGTTGTTCCCCATTTCTCACTCCTCCGCGACAGCAAAAGACGAATCCCACATATCTCTCTTGTCTCCGGTTCGATTCGATCATCGGAAATGGCGGCGCCGAAGCTGGGATCGTTCAGGCGAAGCATGTTCGACGGTTCGTTCAAACAGAGCATGAAAGAGAGATTTCTCTCTACGAACAGAGGCTACTCCGATCTGAGATATTCCTACGACCACGACGATGCCTCCTCCGAACAATGCCGCCCCTACAGGTACATCATCAAACAAGACGAAACCCCACTTTCAATGTCTCCATTTGATGAGATGTAAGATGAGAATAAGGGGGAACAACCTCTCAAAAACTGTTGATCTTGTTTCTGAAGGTGGCTCTGCAACAAGATCATGGGGTTTCTCAGGAACACGCAGGAGGTTTTCGTCGTGGCTTGGGAGATGGGGAAGTCGGATCCGAGGAAAGTCATATTCTCCGCGAAGATGGCTTTGGCTCTGACACTAACATCACTCCTCGTCTTCTGGAAGGAACTGGGAGCTGACATCAACCGCTACTTCGTGTGGGCGATTCTTACAGTGGTTGTTGTCTTCGAGTTCAGCATAGGTACAAGAGAACATCTGTCTGGTTTTGACAGAGTATTTGTTCTGTTTTCTCCCGGTATCCTTTGGTTCTGAGCCGTTGCCTTTCGTTTTCTCTGTCATTTTTCGCTTTCAACATTATGCAGGAGCTACTCTAAGCAAAGGATTTAACCGGGCATTAGGGACATTATCGGCAGGAGGCCTCGCCCTTGCCATGGCAGAGCTTTCAACAATGTCCGGAGGCTGGCAAGAACTTGTAATCACCATAAGCATTTTCGTCATAGGTATATCGGTTACAGCTCTCTCTTGTTCCATTCTTGTAGAAAAAAAGCACCCCTGAAATCGTTCCAATTCTGACAGAACATTGTGTGCCTTCTTGTCAGCTTTCATTGCCACTTATGCGAAACTGTACCCGACGATGAAGCCTTACGAGTACGGGTTTCGGGTTTTCCTGTTGACGTATTGCTACATAACGATGTCGGGTTATCGAACAGGAGAATTCTTCGAAACAGCCATCTCAAGATTCCTTCTAATCGCGCTAGGTGGAAGCGTATGCCTCGTTGTGAACACTTGCATCTTTCCGATATGGGCCGGTGAAGATCTCCATATGCTGGTCGCCAAGAACTTCATGAATGTTGCAACGTCTCTGGAAGGTTCACATTCTAACCTGAGTTAATAGTACATGGTTTAGGGTTCATGAAGAAGATTCACAAATTATTCCGAAAATCAAAGCATTTCCTATTCATAGAGACGTTCTTGGTAGGTTGTGTGAATGCATACCTCGATTGTGTGGCATACGATAGGATCCCCTCGAAAATTCTCGTCTATGAGGCGGTTGCTGATGATGCGGTTTACAGTGGTTACCGGTCCGCCGTCCAATCTACCAGCCAAGAAGATACTCTGGTAATGTAAATTCCCAAATCTCCATAAGTTTTCTTTCACCCATCAACACGCCATAACCATTTCCTCTCCTGATGTATAAGTATAACACTAAGCAGAACAGAACAGAGAAGAGAAGACTGCAATGAAACATCAAAGGGTCGAGTTCTTACAAGACATTTCTCTGATATTACCTCTCTTGTTCATTTTTTTTTCTTGTCTGAAGATGGGATTTGCAACATGGGAACCTCCACATGGACCTTACCAATCATTCAGATATCCATGGCAGAACTACGTGAAGGTCAGTGGCGCATTGAGGCATTGCGCCTTCATGGTCATGGCATTGCATGGCTGCATACTCTCAGAAATACAGGTATACTTTCTCTTCTCCATTACACCGGTTTCGAAGCTATACTGATGTCCAAATTCTCCATACATTCAACCGAAACTCGAACAATGCAGCATCCTATATATGTGTTATATGCATTGATACATAGCTCTCAGCTGTTATCCGAAATTGCTGCTTCACCTCTTCAGGTATCAGAAAGATCAAAGACAAAAACGCTTCTTCAAAGATTAATCACCATAATCTGATATCCACTTTCTCTGTACATTCAACACCAAACACCAAAACAATTAAACACTGGAGATCCGTTCCTGAGGTATGTCGTTATTGTAAAATGCAGGCTGCAGAAGAGAAGAGACAAGTCTTTCGCGATGAACTCAGAAGGGTAGGAGTTGAAGGAGCAAAAGTACTTCGAGACCTCGGAACCAAACTGAAGAAGATGGAGAAACTGGATTTTGACGAAGACATACTCTACGAGGTTCACCAAGCAGCCGAAGCATTACAAAGCAAGATCGACAGAAAATCGTATCTCCTCGTAAACGCGGAGAACTGGGAAATCGGGAACCGAAACAGCGATTCATCAATAACCCAACACGAAATCTCGAATCTTGACGAAGATCTGAAGAGGGTTTTGTCTCACAAATCCAGAAGCGAATCTATGCTCCGAGTACCCAGAAATTGGGATGTACCCATGAACCCTAATTTCCCCAACACCACCCATCAATCAACAAATCCAGTGATTATACAGAAACAACCGTCATGGCCTGCCGGGACCTCTCTAATGGCGGACAGTATGTTGGACAACGACGCGACCAAGATGTATGAAAGCGCGAGTGCTTTGTCCTTGGCGACATTTGCTTCACTGCTCATCGAATTCGTCGCGAGGCTGGAGAATCTGGTGAGTGCTTATGAAGAACTGAGCGAGAAAGCGAGCTTCAAGGACAAGAAGACTGTTGATGAGATGATGACAGAACCAGGAATGGCGGCGGAAAATGTCGGGATCTGGATTAGGTTGCGTCGATGTTTGAAATCATAAAGCGTCGTCCGCTAGATTCAGGTTTAATTTAAAGCCTTTGATCTCGAGGGAAAATAGCATTCAAGATTTATTTTATTATAGTGGTTCCAATTTTTTTCTAAACGGTTTTGTATTATGTATTTTTTGCTAATATCTTAAACATATTTTTATTAAAAATTAATAGATTACGAATAAATAATTTATAAAATAATTGAAAAATATTTGTATTAAAAAAAATTAGAGTTTAAAACAATATTTTGATAAACAAGAATAAAAACAACTAGATTATTAATAGATATCTTTGTAATTTTCTAATAATTGAAACTTGAATTTCAGGTTTTAGACATAATAAAACCTAATATATCTCTTTGTAAAGCTGATATCTAATTTTTGAACGCCTAATGCGGTTTTGATATTTATAATGCAAGATTATTACAAACTATTGTTTCTTACTCCCACCGTTTCATTCTAGATGACCGTTAAAATAAAAACACATAAAAATAATATTTTGTCCAAAATATCCTAATTTATTGTACAGAAAATTGTTATCTTTAAATGTATAAAATATTTGAGTATCATTAATTAGGTGTAAATTTGAAAAAAATAATAAAAATTATATGGAAAATCTAAAAATGACATTTATTTTGAACAAAAAAATCGTTATAAAACGTCATGTACAATAAAACGGAGGGAATATTAAATTTTGGAAAATCCAATTTTCGCGGTATTGCGGAGCTTGGATAATGCGCTGTCATCATGTAATTCAAAACGTGAATAACGTTTTCCAAAACATTTCATATTTTTAGACGGTATTAGAATATATAGACTATATACACACTATATTCCGATAATATTAGAGATGTTGCATATATATATATATATATATATAAGATTTCTAGAGGAAACTATATATTAATTTTTGCAAGGCTACAAGCATAGCGACATATCACATTCGTTGTTAGGTGCTATTTTACGTCTCCTGCCTTGACGACAATGGAATATAAATATAAAAAATATTTATAATTAAAACAGATACGAATTTTAATTTGCTGTCTCCGACGGTGATCGAAGTCGTTGAACCATTGAATTCGTCTCGGAATGCATCAAATTGATGGGAAGCCGTCAAATAAATAGTACCATTGCTAGCGAATGAGATAATGTATCTTATAAGGAATTATAAATTATTGAATAAGTCTCAAATCATGAAATTTTTAAAGAATTTTATAAAAAACAATCATGGAGTTTAGAACCCTGAAAAAAATAGATTTTTTTTTTAAAAAAAAATTAGATTAGTTTAAAGATTTACGGTTTGAGCCCGTTAAAATTTGATAAAAAATTAACAAATATCAAAAGTTAATATTTAATATGAAAAATCGATGAGAATTTAATATTAATTTTTAGGATTTTAAAAATTCACGTTTATTTTCTTAAATTAGTTATAACTTTCGTGATTTTATGTTGATATTCCGTATATTATTTATTAATTAGAAAATTGTCTGCCACAACAACATGTATTTGAAAAAGTAAATCTAAAAAATTAATTATAACTTGCAATTTTTTTTATCTAAAATTTACAAAATGAAATTTGCTTTTACAAATTTGAATTGAGAACTCGTGAAAGTAATTCACGAACCACATCCATCAAATTTATATAGAAAAATAGTAAAGCAATTTTTTCTATTATTTTTGTGAAATTTCGTTACTAAATGTAAATATTTTTGTAACGATATAAACAAAATCGTGACTCAAATTTCTATCGAGGTTGCATCGCTATATATTTGGTGACGCACATCTTCGACGTCATATGTGTCGCAATTTTTAGTTGCGCAAGTTTTGTAATGCAAATTTACGTTGTTATTATGAAGTTATTTTATGATAACAATATTTATTTCGGTTATTTTATTGAGATACAAATTTTGGTTTTGCTTTCTACTCAATATTTTTTGGCACCAAAATTAACTAAAATTTATACAAAAAAAATATGTATACCTCACTAAAGCACATCTCACTCACAAAATATTAATATATTCTATTATTAAGAGATCAGGGTATAATCAAGAGCCTCTCAAATATTTTTGGGATATATGTAAGACAAAAAATATTTTGTTCATTATAAAAATATTATATTTTAAAATTTTAAATATTTAAATAAAATTTTATTATGAAGAATATTAAAATATTAATATCTAAACATAAAATAATTATATTATTTATTACTTAAATATGATTTTTTAAAATAATAAAATGAGAAAATCTAAAAAATTATAAATCAACTTGATATGATCCAAAATTTTGAGCATTATCCCAATATTATGTTGTTTTAAAAGTATAATAAATCTGAAATTAAAAATGACAATATTATTATTTAAAAATAAATAATGATCATATATGATTAAAAATATAAAAAAACACGAATTGTATTTTTAAATTAAAAATTTAAATGAAATGGTAAGACACTAGAATGATTTTTTCGAGCAAATTTGGAGTTGAAAGGTTTGTGTAAATTTAAATGAATGGTATGTTTGTGTAAATTTTTATAGATAAAAGTTGTAATTATTAAGCAAATTAACCAAAACATTAATGAACAACGGTCGCAAAATTATGAATTTAATAGATGGATGAAAAATACATGATAGATAAAAGGTGTATAACCATAAAAAAGAATTATTAATTGACCAATGTTATTTTAAACCATAAATATACTTAAATTTTTTTTTTAAAGATATGTCCACATAATTTTGAGGCCCCAAAAAAGATGGTACGAACCAACCATATAAGTGAAATGACAATTCAATATTAATTTGCGTAGTATGATTAAGAGCCAACCACGTATATAATGTGAGTGAATTAATAACCACATAATTTAATAAACATATTTTTTAAAGCCCTCGTACCTTAAATCCGACCCAAGAAAATCCTTAATTACTCATGCTCGACTCGACTATATATCCCCCTAGAAGCCTAAAATGAAAAAACAAAACACGCACTCACACACAAAATGTCTTCCTTAGCCCTTGTCCTAATCCTCTTGGTCCTCGCATGCTTCAGCTTCCTCTTCCGAGCTTTCTCACGACAAGAATCTTCTGAAAAGTTCGGGAAACTTCCACCGGGTCCACGTGGCATTCCGATCATCGGACACCTCCACATGTTGGGGAAACTCCCACACCAAACCCTAGCTCGGTTATCCAAGAAATACGGACCCATCATGTCCATCAGGCTAGGAAGTGTCCAAACCATCGTCGTCTCGTCTCCACGCGCCGCCGAGCTCTTCCTCAAGACCCACGACAACGTTTTCGCAAGCCGGGCTAAAGATCAAGCCGCCGAGATAATGTCGTACGGGACAAAGGCCATCATATTGCAACCGTACAGCCCGTACTGGCGAGACGTACGGAAGCTATGCGTTGTTCATCTTCTAAGCACGTCCAAGATGGAACAGTTCAAACCCATCATACCAGAAGAGATTGGTCTGATGATGAGTCATCTCAAAAACGCTGCGGAGAAGAAAGAGGTAGTGAACGTCAGCGAAATATTGGCCGAGCTTTTTGAGAATATTGTGTATAGGATGATTTTGGGATATAGTAAAAACAACGATGGTGGCATGAAGCTCAAAGAACATGTGGAAGAGATGATGTCATTGGCAGGAGCTTTCAATATTTCCGACTATTTACCATTTCTTGCTCCATTTGATCTTCAGGTAAGTTTTTTTTTTGTTAACTATAAATATTATATATATAAAAGAAGATTACTAACGGTAATATAGATATTAAAATTCACAATAGCAAAACAAAATAATGAAATTAAGAAGAATAAAAGTGAAATAATAAATTATAGACGCATAAAAATGATAGGTAGAAGTGGTATGTATTGTATATTGTAAGTGATGGATGTTGCACGCTAATAATCACTACAGAAATTTTTTTTCCATGTGGTTCATGGATTGATTCATTACGAGGCTTCCGAATTTTCAATAATATAATTTAATTAAATTTGTCTTTCATTGCATTTAGTTTTTTATTTATACTGATAGTTTACAAAATACTCCCTCAGTTTTTAAAATAATATCGTTTTAGATTTCTCACCATTATTAAGAAAATATAAAAAAGGTCATATATACCCTATTAAATCATATTTTCATTAATTTTTATTAAAGTTAATTTTTTTGATTAAGGGAAATATTGTAATTTTTTATAAAATCAATTAAAAAATCTAAAGCAACATATAATTAGTAATAAAAAATATTTTGTATAATGACATTTATTTAGAATTGAGGGAGTAGTTTCTAGGTTCTCTTTTTTACATGCTTGTCCTACGTGGCATATTGGAGTGGTGGTAATCTTTTTAAGTTATATAAATTTGTGGTTATAATGTTATATATGTATAGAGAATTTTTTTTTCTACCGATGGCTGTCCAGAAATCTTTCTCCCGGAATTTTACATAATCTTTGTATTGATTATAGATTGATTCAGTGCCTAATCAGGTTGTAAACGTATACTAATGCTGTCCCTGCGCAAATTGATAAGATCAATAACATAATAATCTCTACATGTTTGGATGTCTTAAAGTGTTACTTTGTGTGTTGTGTTTAGGGTTTAGCTCGAAGGATGAAAGAGCTAAGCAAGTCAATGGACATAATACTCGAGAAGATCATTGAAGAACATGAGCATCAAAACGAAGAACACAAGTCCAAGGATCACCACAAGGATTTCGTGGATGTGCTTTTGTCTTTGATGAATCAATCCATGAATCCACTTGACAAAAATTCAGACATAATCGGTCGGATTCATGTCAAAGCAATACTAGTAGACTTGGTCGTAGCCGCAGTAGAGACCTCCGCAATAGTAATCGAGTGGACCTTCTCAGAGATCTTGAAGAACTCTCGTGTCATGAAGAAATTACAAGAGGAGTTAGAAACTATTATTGGGATGGATAGGAAGGTCCAAGAAAGTGATTTACCAGAGCTCGAATATTTGGACATGGTTACAAAAGAAGGTTTTAGGTTACATCCCGTTGGACCCTTTTTGGTTCCTCACGAATCCATGGAAGACGTTGTGGTCGATGGATTCTACATACCGAGAAAATCACGAGTCTTGGTTAACGTCTGGTCCATAGGGAGAGATCCTGATGTGTGGCCAAAGAACACCGAAGAATTCTATCCGGAGAGATTTGAGAACGACGATATTGATATTCGAGGCTTAGATTTCAGGCTTATTCCTTTTGGCTCGGGACGAAGAAGATGCCCCGGTATGCAGATCGGGTTGCCGATAGTGAAGCTTGTTTTAGCTTACCTGGTGCATTGCTTTGACTGGAAGATGCCCGATGGAATGCTTTTCGAAAAGATTGACATGGACGAGAAGTTCGGTTTGTCAGTTGGAAGAGCAAATAATGTGATCGCCCGACCAATCTATCGCTTGGATCGTTAGAAATCCCACAATGCTTGTGTCTCTGTGTCAAAATATATAATTAAAAAAAAAAAAAGGAATAAAGGCATGAACAAGAGCGGTGTTCAGACAATAGATTGGAACATGTAAGAATGGATGTGCTGAATAGAGAAGTTATCTCTTTCTGCATCTTTTTATTGCAGGAACAGCGTTGTCTCGGTAAAAGGAAAATCTTAGTTATACCACAAAGTTGTTTGTCGTCGGCCGCGACCCCTCCAAATACAACCCTTGTATCTGAAAACTCCACCGGCCACGCTCCCCCTGTCACCCAGTCGGAGCCCACTGCGTCTGAAAATCTAGATGCCCCTGTGCAACCTACCTCACCACCAAATGCACATGAACCTAGTTCGGCTCCTCTTTGTAATAATCCATCTCAGGAAGAGGTTGCGACTCCGAAATCAGGAATACAAACTCCGTTGAATAAGTCCCAACTGGTACCGGTTGTCCAGGAAAATCGGGAATCAGTTGTGGTAGAAGACTCCACGATTGAGGTTTCTGCTCAACCTGTTCTTGCTAAGCTTCCTTCTGAGCCGAGATCTCCGACAGCTCCCCAGCTTGATTCTCGTATCATCTCACCGGGAAAAGCAGTGGGTCATTCTAATGGCCTACCAAAATTTACTTTGCCGGACAACAAAAGTAAGTCGGCATATCAATTTGAATTTGATAATGAAAATGATATGATCAAGGAAGCTCAGCGTATCCTTCGTTCCAGATCAATTGTCCATACCTTCCGAGATCCAACTGACTTTACCTTAGTCGGTACAGCTCGGAAGGGAAAAGACAAATTTAAGTAGTCCTCTACTACCGAGAAGGTCTCGTTGAGACTAGGATTCGTGACGAATCAACGGTTTGCTGCGATGAATAAGATTTCAACATCTTGATGACTATTAATTGTTGTATTTGTTCTCTTTAGTATGTTTGAGTTGTTTTATGGCTCTAAACTCTGGATTAAATTCTGGTTGTAAAAGATTTGGATTAATATACATTTACCGTTAACAAAAAAAAAAAAAAAAAAAAAAAAATTTTTTAGTTATACTAAAATGATTAAAGAATAAATGGAAATAATCATATTAATTATTTCTTTTCCTATATAAAATACACGCACATAAAATGTATGTTTTGGAACTAATATTTCATTAAACATTTTTTTATTAAGTTGATCGATATTTTCAACGTAAAATTTGTTTTATTATAATAATGACAAGACTAATTGTTTAATGGTCCTAAATTTTAATTAAGTTGATCGATACTTTCTTTCACGTTTTATTATAATAATGACAAAACTAGGCCAGTCTTTTACTGATCTAAGACGGAATGAAAATTAATCTGAATCTGGAAAGGCTTAAAGATATCGGTTCATAATTGAACATCATTCAAGACACTTTGATATATACAAAAAAAAAAAATTATTTTCGTACGTTAGTCCAAGGGAGTTCAAACCAAAGATTGGTTACTTGAATTAAAAAAATAAATAAAAATAAGAAAGTTGAAGATCTTTACCACAGTTTAAGAACCGTGTGTTTTCGGGTTCTCGATTTCGTGAGTATCCGAGGCGCAGGTACTCGCTAAACAATAAGACTAAAGATGAGTGCGATGAAGCCAAGAATTCGGATCACGGGTTCAGATTCAAATTTTCTTAACGATGATGACTTATTCTCGGATATTTTGGTAAGAATAAAATGGCATTTATATCCATTATACTTTAATTTATTTACAATATACTTAAATATATTTTAACATAAAATTATCAAAATATCACGAAAGTTAAGGAAAGTCAATAATTTTCTCAAAAAATTTGACGGAGTCGGATACTCAAATTCAACGTCACGTATATAGGTCATGGGTGTCCGAATTTCACGAAAACGGATTGGAGATAATACTTAAGACATGTAAAGACGAAGACGAAGACATATACTTCTAAAATTCAGGGTATTCGATCCATGGCGAGCCGTAATATCTGGTCGATGGGAGGAGATCCTAATGTGTGGTCAATTTGAGGCTTACCTCGTAGGAAGATGGTATTGCTATTGGTGTTGGGTCTCTCTGGAGGCGAACCCTAGCCGCCGCCTCCGTCGATCTTGAGTGAAACTGGCTGGCCTTCTACTGGTCGGATAAAAGACCGTCTCTCTTTGCCATGGCGAAGAAGAAATCAAACAAATCTCCAACGGCGAGGAAGAAATCGAGCAAATCCCCCCCTGTTTTCCCATCGGCTCCACCTCCGGAACAACTCTGTGTCGACCATCCCACTCCATTACCGGCGATTGCAGCTCCTGGGTCGCTCTCTCTACCGCCGGCAACCTCTCCGTCGGTGGTTCCAGAGCAGCTCATGCCCCCTATTACCTCCACATTTCTTCCGTCGGATTTCCCCCCCCTTCCATCTCCTTCGGGTCAAGCTCCGTCTTCATCTCTGGCCCCTGCTTCTCCATGCATCCAGGTGCCTCCCCTCTCCTCGGCTCCCTTAGCGGACCGTGTTATGTCTGCTGCTCCCCAAGCTATTTCAGCCACAGTTTCCAGCGGCAACTCGAATCTGAAATTTCCTTGGGCAGATCGACTCCGGCAAGCTTCGCGGAATCTCTCCAGACTGGCCAAGCCGGTATTCTCGGCAGAAGGTATCCCGCGAGTCCGAGTTCCCAGTTCGGTGTTCCAGGAAGCTTCAAAAGCCTGGGAAGGGAATATTATGGGACAGTTCTATGGAGTAGCCCCAAACACCTCTAAAATATTCCAATCCCTAAATCCAATCTGGGGAAGGAAGACACGTATCACATCCGTCGCATCAGCGATTCGGCATGTCTCTTTTTCATTCCGGACTTAGCCACAAGGGAATGGGCCCTCGAAATCGGTATTTGGCGAGTGGCGGATGTGATGTTCGCCCTTTCGGAGTGGACACCGACTTCTACCCTCCGCAAGCATGCTCTTACATCTGTTCCCATCTGGATTACTCTCCGGAATATCCCGCCGGAAATGTTCTCACTACAGGGTATCAGCTATATAGCGAGTGGACTTGGTGAACCTCTTCACACGGAGAGAATGCGTCTGGACCCTCTTCAGATCGGTGAAGCCCGTGTCAAAGTTGAAATCCACCTCGGAGAGACATTGAACTTGCCTCCTGCCGTTGAAGTGGAGGATGATGCCGGAGCAATCATCAAGGTCGATGTCAATTATGCCTGGCTACCCCCGCGTTGTATATCGTGCTCTGAATTTGGGCATAGTCACCGTCACTGCCCTGCTAAAAGTCCTACTCAACCTCAGGCCCAGGTCAGCCCCGTTATACAACCATCTACCCCTAACTCTGAAAAGGTTATCATTCCGGTCTCAGATTGTGTTGACACTCCTAAATCACCGGTTATTGTCCCACAACATTCTCAATCAAAACCTTCTCAACCTGTCACAATCACCTCCTTCTCCACGTCTAAATCCATCGATGTGGTCGAAATACCAAATAACCCTTCACCGACTCTTACTATAGTGTCTAGTGAACCCATTACCGATACAGGTACCCCTCTTCCGTTACCTTCGGTCCAGCCGCAAGCCACTTTACCTCAAAAATTTTGTTTTGACTCAGATGAAGAACTAGTGGCAGAAGCTCAACGAATCTTACGCGCTCGTTCTTCTGTTGCTGCTACAGCCCAAAAATCTCAGTACTCCCTTCGATCTTGTGTTAACAACGTCATTCTTGATCCTTCCGATTTCACACTAGTTGGAAAAGCTCGCAAGGGTAGAGGAAACTTTTAGTTTTATGAACTGCTTTTGGTCATCAGAGCTCTAAATATTGTCTTTCGTATAATTCTCATGTTTCTTTTGGATTCGGTTATTATGACTCCTTGTACTTAGGGATTTATCTTACGGATTTTCCCTATTGTAAAAACATTTATATTTATAAGATTTACCGTTACCAAAAAAAAAAAAAAAAAAAAAAAAAAAAAAAAAAAAAAAAAAAAAAAGATGGTATTGCTATGTAATCATACATGTGGGACCGGTTGGTTTCATCTCAATAGGCGCATTGCTTCATTGGTAGAAAATTTTCATTGTAGGAAGATGGATCAATCAAGAAGATATTTTGGCTATGTATGTGAATTATGAAATCTTTCTAACTTATAACTTATCAACGCCATCGACGGTGAGAAGATATATTTAGTGATACTGTCTTTTTCAATTCCTATTTATTTTGGGGCAGTTGGAAGAAAACGACAAGACTCTAAAATATTCAATCACATTTTCCACATGCATCACGTGATTGAATTCCCAGCCACATAAACAACAACTGTTTCCTTCTCCATTTTTTTTTAAAGTAGAGTTCCCGTCGGTTTCTCCAAAGCCTAAACCTCAGAAATCTTAGAAACAAAGAAGGGCGAAAGGAACCAAAATGTCTCTCTTAGCCCTCGTCCTAATTCTCTCGGTCCTTCTTGGATCCTTGGGCTTCCTCTTCGCAAGGCACGAACCTTCTAGAAACTTAGGGAAACTTCCACCGGGTCTGTTGAAGTGTATGACGACATGATGGATGGCCTAATTTGTGGTGATACACAAGCTGATTTGGTGGACGTAATTTCATGCCAACGTTTATTTATTTCCTTTATTTGTATTATGGAGATTTCCTTTATTTGTAATTAGATATTTTCCTTTTCTTTATTTCTAGACCTTCTATATATTTTGTACAATATTTTGTAAATGAATCAAGAGAGTAATTTTTCCATTCTCATTGTCTTCTTCTTCTTTCTCGGTACTATACTCACCGAGATAGGTTTTACACTTCTCTTCCATTTAAACGATTATAAACTCTCATATCACAAAAGTTTACATGGTATCAGAGCCTCAAGAGCCATGGTAACCTATTTTTTATTTGCTTCCGCTACTTAACATATATTATGTATATCCCATTTGGTCACATATAGATCTAAAGAGGAGAGTATTGTAATGGCTCATTATTTGTCTCAAGAAGACTTCAATACAATCGTCACTTTCGAGTATATTCGAAAATTCCGAATCATCGATGATACATGGCCTCAAACAACCAAAGAAGAAAGGGACCATGCCCACGATCAAGTGATGGATGAACTCGAGAAGATTCATCCGGATTTGAATCTACAAAAGAGGTTATTATTCAATTTTCTTGGATTTCTTCCGGGTGAGTACAATAATCTCATCCTTCAAATTTTATCATCAACTTCTTTACCATCCGTTCAAGAAGCACGCATGATGTGGCATAAAGAGCTGTTTTCAAGGGGAAACATTTGTTCATATAAACGAGAACAAACATGCCAATCATATAACGGGAATGTAATGCATTCATAAATCAATGAATCAATACAAAGTCAAAATGTCATATCACGGATCATCCTAGAGCATTACAACCAACAACATTGCCCCAAACATGGGAGAAACAGAACATGAACTCACAGATAAAGCGGTTCGTGAATTCTTCATACAACACATGAAGCCTAGTCCGATGCCAAATGAGGGGGAATGTTTGGATTCATTTGGCATGGTGAATGGAGAAACAAAAGAAGAAGGTTTAGGAAAGAAGGACGAAGGGGTAGAAAAGAAAAAGGTTGAGCAAACTACCTTAGAAGATGGCTTCAAAGAGGACACAAGGAACTCCCATGACGAAGCATCCAAGGAGAATGTGCTACTGCCAAAACAAAATCCCTTCATTCGGTCCATTCACTTAACTCCTTTATGCTCTTTAAACGATTATGTCTGTGAGAGTGATGATGGACAGGAAACTCAAACAAAAGTGGAGATCCACAAAGAGCAACAACACTTGGTGACATTGGAAGCGAATGATTTGTTGACTGGAGTAAAAGGCCGGGAGAGAAGAGACGATGAGTAGTATTCAAACGGAGACAAAGAACCGAGTTTGTCCTTTCTTCTCTTATCCCATTCAATTTGAGTTTTCGGTACCTATTGACATCTTTCAGATTCTGAATGTTTTCAAAATTAATGAGGTTGATATCTTCATGAAAGAAGCTCCGGAGATTAGTCCATACAAGATAGAGATTATTATTCCAAAAATATTTACACACAATTCAATGTTGCCTATGAGTTATGAAAATTCTAGGCTTGGTATTTCTACTCCCTATTCCTTTTTATTTGATTTATATTCATTTATAAATAGATTGGATGTTGAATATAAATATTTAGATTAATTCTAAGAATGCGGATGAATATAATATTAACAAATATAAAAGTTTAAGTGATGCGTATGATGACTATGACGAACCATTGCCATATACTGTGAAATTAGGACTAAGACTTGCATTTTTCCATACTAGATCATTATTCCTACTGTTATTTGATTTACAAAATGATTTTGACAAGGGTAACGATATATTTAGTCACAAAGAATGCTGTATTGCTTTTATTAAAAAAAAGTCTAACCGTTTCTTTAAAGTGTGGCAGGATCGAAAGGATTATGATCATTCAAATAAGAGAGAAACTCTTACTTTTCTCTTATTAACCGATGCTCCTAACACTCGTGAGATGATAAGAGAGAACACAACAAAGTTTTTACCCAAAGAAGTGTACAAAGACGCTTCAAATGATGGGGAAGTGAAAACCATTTGGTGTAGAATCAAAGGTAAGTCTTTGTATTCATTCGAATATAAAACTTACGTTAATTTTATTGGTTTGCAGGATTCAAACACAAAGGAACCACTTTGGAAAATACTGGAACAATTTATCAAGAAAAACCATGGATGCTATGACAAGAAGGATGTTCAAAGAACAATGTTCATTGTTGTCAAACAATGGCGGAATTGGAAAAGCACAAAAAAAAAAGGTTAAAGTAATTTCCGCTTTCAAGATTGATTTTTCGATTCTCTACAAATCATCTT